GGAAGACTATAATAAATAAGAATTGGAGAAGAGTTCACATTTGTCAGGATTCGGAAGCAAGTCGCCACTGAACGGGAGGGTGTTGTTGGTTGATAGCTGTGATGAGGGAGAAGAGGATTCTCTCTACGTAGTCTTCAACGGATTGATCATTTCCAAAGTCGACGTCGAAGAACGGAGACCGGAGGATGTCAATCTGCCCTTGATCGTCGAAAACAAAGCCGTGGTCGTGTTCTAGATCAGCCATCCATGAATGGACAACAACCTATGGGTTGGGAAACTTCAGGACAGCTAACGGAGACTTTCCGGACAGCAGGACAACAAAGGAGCCTTGCTGAGATTTTTGGACAGCAGTGAGAAACTTTGGAGGAAAAGTAATAGTAGGAAAAAGGAGGAAGAGTAATTGAGGTGGGAAGAGGAGAGGGAGGGGCCGGCCATATGGAAGAGGGGAAGGGGATTCTATTTCCAGGTTTGGGATGTTATTTAAGGAAGGGAAGTAGTCCAAAATCTGAATTTTAATTTAAAATTTAATGGGGGGAGGTAATTGGTGAGATTTGAATTTCAAATTTCCAAACAAAGGGGGAAAAGGAGGGAGGAGGAGGGCGGCTCTTTGATGATGGAATTGATTGGGAGTCCAAAGAAGGGGATTAATTGGGATAGAGGAAAAGGAGGGGCCGACGACTTGCATGGGGGTTGGGTTTTAATTGAAGGGGTTAAGGCTTGTTCTATTTAGAATCTTAAAATAGGAAAGGGTATTTTGAATCATCTCATATTTAAAATTCAAATAGGCTTTGATTTGAGGGACTTTTCAAATATAGATCATAGTAGTTTATGAAAGAAATTTCAAAATTCAAATGAAAAGAAATATGATATTACTACTTGCATAATGTGAGATGCATCCAATATGATAAGCATTAATGGCTTGATTTGAAAATTGGAGGCAACGGGAAGGATGATTTGGCCAGCGGCTAGGGTTAGGGTTAGGGTTTGAGAGTCAGCGGTTAGGAGGGATTTGGGGCTTGGACCGGCAGCTAGGAGGAAGGGGAGGGGCCTTGGGACCGGCGGCTTGAAGGAGGAGGAGGTGGCCTTGGGGCCGGCGGCTTGGAGGAGGGGAAGGTGGCCTTGGGGTCGGCGGCTAGGAGGAAAGAGAGAGGGAGGGAGGCGGTTTGTCTAGAAGAAAGGTGAGGATCTTGGTGGAGGAGGTGGATCATGATCCCGGACGTTTCCTGCGATTGGTGGGTAATATGTCGCCCTCACCTAAGGACTTCAAACTCTCACAAGAGCTCTCAAACTCACCAAAACACAAGTGCAAGAAATTTTCATAATAATCATCATTATCCTCCCCAAAGAGGATGGACTATAAATAGTCAAATGAATAAAAAGACAAAAGTGCCCCTGGGGTCACATGAATAAAAATGAAAAAAATGTACAATAATAAATCAAATACAAATAACATCTCAAAAATAGAGTGGTGTAATCATTGTCGTAGATCTCCTACCTCTACTCTGATAAACTGTCCACTGTCGGATGTCCTCATCGGACTGTTTCAAGATGGTCTATTGCGCTTGCTTAGCACTTTTTCCTTTGATAAGGGCCCACCTCAAATTCTTCACAATGAACATTTTCTTTAAATTTATGTGACAAACCAAGTTTTAGTCTGTTTGACAATTGATTTTGATTAATGCATATTCTCATCAAGTCTAGTAATATTGGTTTTGAAAAAAATGAAATTACTTCTAACCACCATTCTCTTAATGCATCTTTACTTTATGATTTATAGAAAGATAATCCATAACAAATCCTAATAATGAGCATTGCAAGAATTATAATATAAATGTGGATACTCATTCATAAATAACTTTCCCGCAATAATATTACAAATCATTCAATAATAAATCACTAAACTATCCAAAAGAAATATTTAGTGTTGCATAATAATTATAATGTTGTGACCATATAATGAGTTAGTTATAAGCTAGAATATTCTCTAAGGTATTATTAGTGACCAGATAACTGGCACAATGTGATCTAATCTCTTCAATATGCTTGCTCAACAATTCAAATATATTTTATGCCTTTTTATAGAGATGGAATCATTCGACTCTATAAATATACTTACCGTTGGACAATTAATCAAAAAGTTTTTTGAACTTTTCCAATTATTTTATGTCCAATGCCATGAGAGAACCATATTTGAAATAATTTCCTTTTTGGCATTGCAATAATTATTGCTTGTGTTATACATTCTTTTTCAATATGGAACCCACATCTCATGATAGCCTAGAGTTTTCACTTCAAGACCAAATTGTCCAAATGCCTCCGCTACTGCTTAAAATCTATCATACATATGTGCATTGAAGGGAGTGTGTGCATCATATATTCATTTTGCTAAAACACTTGAAATCTCTTTCCTTCATCTCCTTCCTAGCTACCTCTCTTTTTTATTTTTTGAATTTATCTTTTGTTGCTTCTTCACTTAAGAGGGTTTCAGAGTTAAAATTATATCTAACAAACCTTTAACCTTTGATTCTTTAAGCATAGTAGTCGTCTTTGAATTTAGACTTGAAGTACTTTATTTTAATTTATGGTATCCCTTTGATTTTTTTTTAATTTTGAAATGTCATCATCCATCATATCAAAATCATTTTATTCATCTATTTTATTATATGGCATTTATTTTATTTGGTCTTACAAATTTTTATTATGCACTTTTGAATGTCATCTTTCACATATGGGCAGTAATTACTAACTCCCTCGATCTTTTCTTCAAGTTTGACCCAAATTTAACATTTTTTTCTTTTTTGTATAGCTGCTGATTGAAACTATACAATTGTTGACTTAATACTGTCCTTAAATAATAAGGTTATAGTTTTGATTAGTAAACAACAAAAAAAAAATTAGATTTACGTGTCAACCAAATTTGATCAGGTAAGTAAAAAAAATGTCAAACAAACAAAAAAAGAATTCAATAGTAAGGAAAGGCAAGTAAAGAGAGCATAAATGCAGCGAATAAGATAGAATATTCAATCAGTCGTTTGCATTCTTTTGTGAATATGTTGATCATCTCGAGGTTGTGTGGCCGTCTTGAGCGAACCTAATGATAGGAGTTGTGTCCTTTTTTGAAGTCATCAACAACCTCAAGAGAAAGTAGTCCATTTGTCATGCAAAGTGGAGGTTGCGAGACTACAAGCAAATGAGGAAGCAAAAATGTCCATTCGAGAACTTGTGTCGTAAGAAGATCCAATTGACATGCAAAGTCTCTCTCTCCCCCACCCCCAACACAAACATACACACAAAAAACCAATGTGGAAGCTTGTGAACGGTGAGAGCCAAACTGTAGAACCATCTAGTGTGTGTAGAGGATTTGTTGCCCTCAAAGAGCTACAAAGAAAAACCAAGCTGAATGCTAGCGTGATGTATTGTGTGAGTGATATTAATGCCGTAATAAAAATAAAACAATAAAATTGATAAATTAAATAAAATAGTATGCATCATAATGTCAATGACATTGCTCTATAACTTATTAATAGCACAACACATGCTTTTTTGACACCCCATGCTGCCACACAAGTAGTGCGGGCTTGCACGTTATCATGCTATGGGCAATAGTTTTCACTCTCACACACTATTGACATGTGCATTAGGATGTTGTGAAGTGGAATTTTATTATTCTTGAATATTATTATAAAATCATCATTGATATTTGGTAAGTGAAATAAAATTTTAGGGATTTGATGATGTTGATTTGGGCAGTGATTCAGATACGTGAAGAAGTATAATAAGATATGTCTATACTATAGACGGTACTTGTATCTATTAGGTTTCACAATTAAAGAAGATGGTGATTGTCAACCATAGAAATAGAATATGTTGTTCTCATTCAAGCCATTAAGGATATGGTTTGATTGAAAAACTCATAAAAGATTTGAGGGAAAAAAGGATGAGAGTATCCTTTTGTGATACTTGTTAGTTTTATATATTTAGCATCAAGTGCAACATTTTATTCCAAAATAGTACTCATTAACTAAAATATCATGTTATTAGAGGTTTGTTGAAAGATGGCGATTATTGAGCAAAAATCAAAGTATTCAAGAGCTCAACATCCTTACAGAAACAATCACCGTTAATAGACTGAGATTTTGCTAGAACAAAGTATTAAGACAGTGCTACTTGTCTTTTGTTTTGAATTTTTTTCTTGTTTAGATCTCAGCTATTGCTTGCTCAATTATTTTCCTCACACCATGTAGTTCTTCCTTTGGTGCCAATCGCTTTCATAGGCATAGTCCATTAGCATATAATATCTACATCAGGCTTTTTTAATGGGTTTGGCAGGGATTTGAAATGTGTTGTTGTTGGGGCATGGTGAGATGAATAAGGCAGTATTATTATCCAAACCAACTAAAGCCTCTAGGCTTTTTGTAAATTGATTTTGAGCTGGCACATGCTAGCTGAAAATTGCAGAAGTTACAAGTTGTTTGGTTGCATTTTCTCCATTTAAGAATGCAATATTGTTAGGTCTCAGGCTGTCCCTTCTCTTTAGATCTGTTAGGTTTGACACAGAGATATTGTTGTACCACCCTCCTAGTAATATTTTGAATTATGATGTAAATTAGTTGCAACGTCATGACTTAGTGGTTGCGCATTATTAGGTTGGGATTGTACTGTCTTTTCTTTAGGATCAACTACTTAGCATTTCCTTTTTCTTTGCATCACTTAACAGTCTAACCTGCTTTAAGTTACAAAATGGCTTTGGGCCAAATGCATTAATAAATGATCTAATTATGTTCCGAAAAAGAAACCAGCTGTAGATGTCTTATCTATTAATAATAGAGTACGTTAGATCCCTGTTATGCTGTGCTGTACAAAATTAGTCCGTTAATCCATGTGAATGTTATCAAGTAGTTATCATACTCATGGAGTGAGTATTAAATCCTTTATTGAAAGTTTTCAAAGCTACTCCTTGCTCATTAGGTCCTCCAATTTTCTCTTGTTATTGTGAGTAGATCTCTGGTGGTTGCAAATGCTGGGGATTGCAGGGCAGTACTTTCTCGTCGGGGAAAGGCGATCGAGATGTCTAGTGACCATAAGCCCTCCTGCATGGGGGAGAGGAAGAGGATAGAAGCTACCGGCGGCTTTGTGTATGATGGCTATCTCAATGGACAGCTCAATGTGGCCCGGGCCCTCGGAGATTGGCACATGGAAGGGATGAAGGTTGCTGATGGACTGGGACCGCTTAGCGCCGAACCGGAGGTGAGGAAGATGAAGCTCACTGAAGAGGATGAGTTCCTCATCATTGGCTGCGATGGAATCTGGGACGTCTTTCGTAGCCAGAACGCGGTCGACTTTGCTCGTCGAAAGCTGCAAGAACACAATGACCCTGCCACTTGCTGCAAGGACCTGGTCGATGAGGCGCTCAAGCGGAAGAGCGGTGATAACCTGTCCGTGGTCGTCGTCTGCTTCAACTCAATTCCACCTCCTGCCTTGGCTGCCCCAAGGCCTCGAGTGCAGAGGAGCATATCAGCTGAAGGTCTCAAGGAGTTGCAGAGCTTCTTGAATAGCCTTGGCAATTGAATTCCATCTCTTAGAGATGTGACTGTTGTAGAACTTACTACTTGCAGAGATTTTTTGTTCAAGTGTAACATATGCGGCTGCTTGTCTCCTTATTTTAAATATTTGAGCTTTCTATGTCTGTATTGGGAATCTTTAAGCTATGTTTTGTTCTTGTTATTATGAGTACCCCTTTATTTATTTTTTAGCTGAAGAAGGATTGGCAATAAACAATGGGTTATAACGAAAGCTTTATTACATTTGAGGGCCAGCTTGAAATGATTCTTCTCTTATAGTTTAAGGGAGAATAGCTTCATCATGGAATGAAAGCTGATTGCGTGATTGAAGGTTTTCTTATATTACAATTCATTTTTTAACCTTTTCTTTGCCTTTAGTTGGGCACAATTATCTCCATCATGTTCTCTACTAGGTAACGTCAGATTGCTGGTGGTGCTCTTTTTTATTCATTGTATGCCTCTGCTTTACGTTTTTTAATTTTGTTTTTTTGTTAATGGTTTGGACGTTGATTTATTCAGAGCTATAGGGATGGAGGGCTGTCAAAATCGGGTCACGGATCAGATTTGGATTCAACCTGGAATTGAGTCGGCACTGTTTGGCCAGATCTGAATCCGACTTGTTTTTTTACAAATGGATTGATTTTTGAACCCGAACTTGACTCGTTTGGATTCAAGTCAATTCTAACCTAACTTGCTTTGGGTATGTTTTATTAAAATTTTTTATTTAATTTGATTTATTTAAACTTAAATTAAATTAATGTAAGATTGATTTCAATTAATTTAAAACAAAAGCTTAATTCAATTTGGGCAATATGATTTATTTTTTGGAAATAACATTTATTATTTCATAACAATCTTTTGAAATATTCATAAATTAATTAAAAACAGGTCGAATTAAGTTGATCTCGGGTTTCAACCCGATCTTGTTGGCTTTTTTGTAAAATGGGTTGAAATTCCTAAATTCAACCCGGTTGAGGTTTGGGTTGACCTAAAATTAAAATTTTTAGTCAGATTTTTGAGTCGTGTCAAATATTGACATGCTTATTGGGGAAAAAAATTAAGTCAGGATGTTCTATATATATTTTATACTGATGATTCTAATTCTCTATGTATCTTTGATTTCATGGGGTTTTTTTTTTATTTTTTAAAATAATTTTTTAATAAAAAAAATTTAGTTTATATACTAAAAGTTGTTTTAAGAAGAAGTAAGAAAGATGTCTCAAACAAAATCTAAGACTTGAGTGAGAAAATTGTGTGGTTGAGGAGTGCCGGTAGAATTGTCCGGAGGCAAATTCTGATTCATGGAGACGAATCAGAATGCGTCATGTCACCGGGTACACAATAAATGAGTGATATGACGCATTCTGATTAGCCTCCAAACGACATCCATACCCAGAATAATTTTTCCCACCATGCTAGTAAACAGATCGCTGAAAGGAAGTCAATGAAGTCAAATGTGTGGATTGAATTTATGCTAGCCTGATATTTATTTAGGAGCCATCCATGACTGTTGTCGTCTCTGGTCTGATCTTTTGAGGAAGGAATTTTTTTTTTCTTTTTGGGGCAAAGCAAAGAATGTTCATTTAGGAAGTTTTCTTTTTAATAATTTAGCTTTAAAGTAAAGAAATTGGATGGATGCTAAATTTTATATTTTTATTTCAATTTCTATTTGATTCTGAAAATAAATATCAGCAAAATGTTTTCTAAGACTATCAAAGTTATGTCTATTTTGATTTTAGAAGTGTTATTGTTGGATCCAAATTTATATGCGGAAGATATCAGAATCTTACTAACAGGAAGAATCTGATGAGCTAAGAACTTCGAGAATGAAGAACATAGAGAATAGAAGAAATTTTGTAGGATGCTTAAGAGAATACGAGTATTAAAATTAGAAAGGTTTCCACTATCCACTATTAGTTTAAAAAACGTCCTTAAAAGTCTCTTATTCCTCATCACCCTTTATTTATAGAGCTTTGAGCACTACATGAAAGGCTACACAAAAAATCAATGGTACAAAGCAATAGAATACTCATACAACTCTATATACTATCTAGATAGGTGTCATCTCCTAACTAGTTGAAGGAGCGTTTTGTGCAATAATCTTTAGGCGAGCTTGCTAATGCTGAGTAGATGAGGGCGAGTGTGGTTGTGTAAGTATGCAGACGAGTACTAAGATGAAAAGGGGACCAGTTGCTAGCAAGTTGGTTGACGTGGTCAGCAACCAATGTAGAAGCTCTATGATCAACCTGAGAAGAGAAGGGCGACTAAAATGCTGACTTAGGAAGGGAGAGCTATAGCTTGGACTAGTACCAAACTACTGGTTCTAAAAAGGAATCCTCAATTTGCCCTATTCATATCGAGCTTCTGGAGAGGCCAGAACGAATGATGAGTGTTGATCATTGCAGGAAAGTTCTTTCACGAGTTTCAAGCATATTCCTTGAAATGGGTCTCCTAAGATGGCAAATTCCAATGTCATGACCCATCAAACTACTTGCTAGACACATGTAAAACATATACATGTATACAGTGACGAGCTTAAATTTAAAAAGCAATATTACCCTAATCCCAAATGTGAGTAATTATTCATATTATTTTCGAAAATAATAAACTGATTTGACTTCTATAGAACTAATTTGGTACATTTATGTGTGCATAATTATCTCCATCTTTATTATTAAAAAGTAGTAGGACCGCTTAACCTGTCATTTTAATGCCTTTTCTTATAATTTAAAATATATGCAAAATTATCTCCATCATGTTCCCTTAAGCTGGCAGAGTGGTAGTAGTTAACGATTTAACATAATAATTCTCCTTTTTCTCTATTTTATTTCTGAGCAGTCCTCAACTTTTGTAAGCAGGAATTTGCGCTCTCTTTTTTACGAGAGATTATTAGGTGCGGAGTGTGGACGGGGAAAACCGTCCGCACAAGTCTTATTCCGCGCTAGGTACTGATACTCGTACCATTGGATACCACATATTTGTACGGACGGTGCACACTCCGCACCTAATAATTTTTCCTTTTTTGTGGTTAATTGGTGGCGCTGAGCCACATTGATGCTTTATAAAAAATTCTTCTGCACGTAATTATTTCCCGTACGAACTAAGCTTTAGTTATTTTTTCTTGCCATCTTTATCACATGAAAGATAAAATTTTCTTTTGTTATTATTTATTTTGAAAATAAAGAAAAAGAAAAAAAAATGGAGTAAATTCTTGGTTGGATTTTCTTCACCTTTTTTTTTTTTGGAATTTTGTGGTCGCAACAGTGCATAGTAAAGAAAAAGTTTTCCTAAAAATATATCAAAGCTGTGAATGTGGATTTTATGAAAATGGTATTGTATAGTAAGATTAATTATTATGTGCAGACACGGAATGCCGTCCGAAAATGAATCAGAATGCGTCATGTCACCATTTTGCTCAGTAACACTGACGTGATGCATTCTGGTTGGCCTTCGGAAGACGTTCTGCATTCCGGTTTCTGCACATAATAATTTCTCTTATATATAAATGGACTTCGACATCCTAGTTATAAGTAGGGCTGAAAATGGAGCAAGAATTCGACAAGTTACTTGTGGCTCAGCTTAATTATAGTTCGTTCATGATCATTTGTTTAAGTAATCAAACAAATTTGAATAATTTTTAGATTACTCTGCAGTTAAATAAACAAACATGAACAACTGTGTTCAGCTCGTTTATGTTCATGAACAATATCAATTAAAGCTCGATAAAAAGCTTAAAATATTATTAATTTTATTCTATTCGATACTTTGTTAAGTAAGGGAAAATTGTCAAATTCCATTGCTTTTGTTGTTGATGTAAATGCAGTAGTAGGTAACCGTCAAAATTTTACTTAACATATGGGGACGAAGCCATAAGTGGTGAATTACTAGAAAATTGAAAGCAAAGGAAAATACCTGAAAAGTTTAACTCTGTTTTTCTTTCTCACCGATTTTTTCTCCCTCATAATCCACAAAGCTTCACCTGCCATGCATTGCTCTGGTGTCTGGCAAACTCGAATAAATCATTTATTTTAGCATATATCAAAGCATAATGAGCCACTTTTTCCTACCAATAACTGAGTACTGCTATTGGAATTGGCATTGTGTATGACATATTTGAATCCTAATAATGGATTTCATGCATTAAAGAAGACAATTTGATTAGAATGATACAGTTTTATTCAACTGATTTTAAAATTGGAGATTAATGGGTGAATGATTTATTAATTGCTTATATTGAGAAAAAAATTAGATTTTATTGATAATAAAATAATCATTTAACTCTATCAGAATATGAAGAGTTGACGTTATAAATTATAAGTTGTTTACTATTTTATATTTAATATTATATATTTTTTAATAATAGTTGAATAAAAATTTTGAAAACTGCCTATGCCAATCCCAAGCCCTCATGAAAAAAGTTGAGGGAAAATTTTAATAAAACAATTTAGGCCTCCCTTAATAAATTTTCTAGCTCCGCCACTACCCGAACGCGCGTTACCAGCGACCGCGTGGCGTCGTCTAACGCGTGTAGCCTGCCACGCCTGCCGCCGAACGCTGGCTGCCTACTGCCGTTGCTGAATGGATTTGGCAAAATTTTTGAATGGAGGCGCGGGATTTGGCTGAAACAGGCCGATTTGGGTTGACCCGAACCCAAAGCGGGTCGGGCTCGGGTCCAGAAAACTGACCCGTTTGCAAAATTGGGTCGGGTTAGGGTTTATCCGAATAATGCCGGGTCAATTCCGGGTTCGACCCGAACCCGACTCGTGACCCGAAATTGACACCCCTAGGCTCGATAAGGCTCGTTTGTTTAAAGCTCAATAAGCATAAATTAATTGAACATGAATCAAACACAATCCAAACATGAACATCTATTCTTTTAAATGAACCAAGCTTGAACACAAACAAAAAATCTCGAATTGAGCACAACCCAAACTTGAACAAACTAATAATAAACAAGCTCAAACATGAATAAACACATACCTAACCTAGTTTAATCGTTAGCTACGTTCTCTTTATAATGTGACAATAGATGTATGTCATGGTAGAGTTGAGTAATGATTACCTCATTATTATTACGACCATCAACGGCTAAGATTTCATTTGATACAACTTTTTTATTGCTTCTAAAAACAATTTTTTATCACAGGACTGGAAGGTTCATAGAGGAAGACAGAATGAAGAAAGAAAAATTGTAACGAACGGGATCGATCGGATCAGCCGATTGTTAAAATTTTAATTTTTTACTATAAAATTA